AATATTTTGGTGCGATGCTGGCAAATAAGTGTATTTGTGTACAATGCCAATAGTCAGGATTGTACTTATTACATTTAGTATTAAAACATACTGTCTATACGGAGGATGGGCTGCAAGAATCATATTTCCAATAGGCATCGTATTTTCACACCTGCACGAGGGGGGGCGGTGGATTTTAGGTTAGGTTTCATTATGCTTGGTTATACTAATATGGTGTAATATTATCCGAAACGTATAAAATGGAAATTAAAAAAACTATTTAAATGTACCCGTGAACTTTGCTTGCAGAAAATCAAACTCTTCAGACCATTTTAAAGAAAATGTGTTCAGCATATACTTTTTTATATTTTAAACCAACGATTTAAAATGCCATAAAGTTATAACTTGAGAATATCCTGTTTAGGAAAAAGGTTCACTTGCCAATTTACATGTAGACCATTACTGAAACTGTAATGTGCTTTTAGATCATCACAAATATCTAGATAACTCTCCAGGTGGTTTAATGGGGCGGTTTGTTACTGATGGTAATGGATTTGTTCTGTGGACGAGCTCAAACAGGATGATGACATGACATATAATACATCACTATTACAGATATTCAATATAAAAACAATAATAATAATAATAATACATTGTGTCAGGAGGGACAGGAAGCCAGAGTGTATTCATACACGTTAGGCTTATATCGAGGTCTCCCCCCCCCCATTCCCTAGGTCGAATTAGTAACCCCACAAGAAGCTGACAAAACTCCTGAGTACCTACTTACTGCTAGGTGAACAGAGTCATTAGGTGATAGGAAATGCGACCAACCATTTCTGTCTCGCCGGGCATTCGAACCCCGGCATTCTCCATTGTGAGTCGAGAACAAACCCGACTGAACTACCGGGAACCCTAATTTTGACTGATGCGTCGCATTTTTAGCGGATTGGTGGATTGCGTAAGAAATGTGACGCATTAGGCGACACGACGGGTTCGTTTTCTTTAGATGATCAGTTAATGGTGGTAAACTAAACTATTTTCTTCTCTTATTAGATATAGTGTCATTTTTGCCTTACGTTTTCCTTTGATAATTACAAATTATTTGTCTTTTTAAGAAGCCAGAGACAAACTTTTGATATTAATTAATATGTTTAGTGCTTAAAAAAAAGGACAACTATTGCCTCTGAGGTAAATACTGGTAAAATAAATAATCTCCTATAAGTTTATGTAAACTAAATCTATTCATAAATTGTTATACATTTCTAATTAAGTTTATGAATGTGAATTCGAATATAAAAATTAACCATTAAAGTGTATAATAAATTAAAAAGTATTTATTAAAATGCTTTTTAAAAAACTCTGTCTCTAAAAGCAAAGGAGAGAGAGAGAGAGAATAATAAATGCAAGTAGAGACAAGGAAGGTGGATGACAACATTATGGATCATATAGTGCGGCGTGCAGTCCCTAGATGGCAGCACGACGCGGCTCAATCGCTTGAAAACAAACGCGATATTTTCCGGGTTTGTTACTTCTGTGTCCACTAAAACCGTTGGAGACCGGAGCAACGGGTTTGCTCCGGTCGTTAGAGGTCCGTTTCTGCGGCGATAGAAGCGAAAGTTCAGGTCCGAAAGAAGCGATGGAAAACGGCAATTGATACTGATGTTTACAGCCCTCTCGAACGGAAGTCCAGAGTTTATCGTTCGAGTCCCGTGTTTATCGTTCGCTCCGGCGAATCTCTCGTATAATAATTTAACGAGATAAAACAAATAGAGGCAGAGAAACGTGAGGAATTTACTGAAATTTAAATCTTTCAACATTTACGTTATTCACTCATGATTATATGCCCTTTTGGAATTAAAAGAACTATTTTTTTACTGTTATTATTTGAAGTTAAACGTAAAGTAAATTTAAAACTGTGGGAAGATAGACGGGTGAGTTGTCGGTCATTTTTGTTCTGTTTGTACTCACCTAGTTGTGCTTGCGGGGGTTGAGCTTGGCTCTTTGGTCCCGCCTCTCAACTGTCAATCAACTCGTGTACAGATTCCTGAGCCTATTGGGCTCTATCATATCTACATTTGAAACTGTGTATGGAGTCAGCCTCCACCATATCACAGCCTAATGCATTCCATCTGTTAACTACTCTGACACTGAAAAAAAAATTATAACGACTCTATGGCTCATTTTGGGTACTAAGTTTCCACCTGTGTCCCCTTGTTCGCGTTCCACCCGTGCAGAAGTTTGTCTTTGTCCACCCTGTCAATTCTCCTGAGAATTTTGTAAGTGGTTATCATGTCTCCCCTTACTCTTCTGTCTTCCAGGGACGTGAGGTTGGGCTCCTTTAGCCTTTCCTCGTAGTTCATACCTCTCAGTTCCGGGACGAGCCTGGTGGCATACCTCTAAATCTTCTCTAACTTTGTGTTGTGTTTAACTAGGTATGGACTCCAGGCTGGCGCTGCATATTCCAGGATTAGTCTTACATAAGTGGTATACAGGGTCCTGAACGATTCCTTACACAAGTTTCTAAAGGCAGTTCTTATGTTGGCCAATCTAGCATGTGCCGGTGATGATATCCTTTTGATGTGGGCCTCTGGGGACAAGTTAGATGTGATATCAACCCCCAGATCTTTCTCTCTTTTTGACTGTTGCAGCATTTCACCTCCCAGATGGTACCTTGTGTTCAGCCTTCTCTCTTCGCCCTAATTTAATTACTTTACACTTTCCTGAGTTGAACTTTAGTAGCCATTTTCAAGACCATTCCTCCAGTTTGTCCAGGTCATCCTGTAGTCTCTGTCTATCTTCATCTGTCCTGATTCTTGTCATAATATTTGCATCATCAGTAAACATTGAGAAGAATGAGTCTATTCCCTCCGGAAGATCGTTTACATACATCAGGATCAGGATGGGTCCAAGTACAGAGCCCTGTGGGACTCCGCTGGTGACATCTCGCCACTCTGATGTCTCCCCCCTCACAGTTCCTTGCTGTTTCCTGTTACTTAGATATTCCCTTATCCACTGAAGCATCTTACCTTTTACTCCTGCCTGTTTCTTCAACTTTTGTAACAGCCTTTTGTGAGGTACTGTGTCAAAGGCTTTCTGAAAGTCTAACAAAAATGCAGTCTGCCCACCCTTTTCTTTCATACCTAATTTTTGTCACCTGGTCATAGATTTCTATTAAGTCTGTGAGACACGATTTACCATCCATGAACCCATGCTGGTGGTGTGTTACAAAGCTATTTCCCTCCAGATGCTCTACGAGCCTTTGCCTCACGATCTTCTCCATCACCTTGCATGGTATACAAGTTAGGGAAACTGGCCTGTAGTTCAGGGCTTCTTGCCTGTCACCCTTTTGCATATTGGGACTACATTAGCTGTCTTCCAGCTTTCCGGTAGGTCTCCTGTTTCCAGGGACCTGTTATACACCATAGAGAGTGACACACTTAGTGCTTCTGCACCTTCTTTTAGTATCCACGGTGAGATTCTGTCATGCCCAACAGCCTTTGTCACATTCAGCTCCAACAGATTCCTTTTGACCTCATCACTGGTGAGGTCAAATGCCTCCAAGGTGCTTGGTTTGCCTCCTCCTCTCTTAGTGCAGGGGTTTCTCCTTGCTCTATTGAGAAGACCTCCTGCAAACTGTTGATGAGTTCTTCACACACCTTCTTGTCATTCTCTGTGTATCTGTTATCCCCTTTTCTCAGTTTCATCACTTGTTCCTTCACTGCTGTTTGCCTTCTGATGTGGCTGTGGAGTGTGTGTGTGTGTGTGTGTGTGTGCCAAGTGGTTTCTACGAGAAGAGAGACTTAGCCATAAGCCCCGCCTCACGGTGTTTGAACCTGGGTGTGTTTGTATTTCCTGGTGTTCTAGCAGTCTGTTGGTCCACTTGTTCTTGAAGCTGTTATTTTTGGTTGATCTGTCGTGTGTGTGTGACGTATGGGTTTGTTTCTGTATTATAATGTTCTTACCATTCCCCTCTTTCTCTGTCCCCTCTCTTCTCTCTCTCTCTCTCTCTCTCTCTCTCTCTCTCTCTCTCTCTCTCTCTCTCTCTGCTTTCAAGTGACGTACTTAGTGAAACTGCAAGCAAGAGTTGTTATCCTACCTCAGCTCATCTGAAGTCTGCTCCTAGAGACCCATTTATTTCATAAGTTTATTATATGCATCATTAGGAATACACTTTATTTAACTCTAGGTAACAATCATATAAGGAAGAGGATGAGCGTGTAGCCAACTGTGTGCCAGAGCCTTCATGTGATCAGTTGACCTGATCTCCCGTGTATCAACCTGTTGGGCCAACAAGTTCCTGATGCCAGTCAGCCTCGGAGTGAATGGTCGCTGATGGAGTGATGTTCTTGAGAATGGCACTTCCAGCATGAGACTGTTGAAGGTTGAGAGCCTAGTGCTACGGGTGGCAACTACTGGTTGTCCACGGAGCTGGGCCAGGTGCGGAACTTTGAGAATGTTGGCCTTGTACATAACAGTAAGACCACCAACGTCACGACGGTGTTGCAGGCTCTGATGTTCAGACCGTTCCCACCAGACTTGGTCAAGACTAGAGAAGAGCCTTCTGGCCCGTCTCTCACACTGTGTCCTACAGTCTGATGATTGATGGAGGGTACGGCATCCAGGAAAATGGTGCATACTCTAGAATGGAGCGAACTTGTGCTTCATATAAGGTTTTGCAGCCCCTTGTTGTCAAGAAGGTGTGAGATGAGCCGTAGAGCTGCCAGTTTCCTCGCTGCCTTTTTGGCTAGGTTAAGCACGTGACTCTTCATTGTTATTAAAGAGGCAAACTTCATTCCCAAAATGTCAGTTTCATTTGTGAATACTAAGTTTTTAACACCCATTTCAAAGCCCGTCCGATTTGTAATAGTCTAGTTATCATCGTTTGTGTTTTCTCAGCCCAAATGTGACTTGCCTTCTCTTACTCCAGGTAGACATTGCTAAAAGTTGGTGATTGATGAGTCTTGTAGAAGCTTTCATTTCTTCCTTTTTGGATGTGAAGGTTAGAGTGTTGTCATCAGCAGTCTCTCTCTCTCTCTCTCTCTCTCTCTCTCTCTCTCTCTCTCTCTCTCTCTCTCTCTCTCTCTCTCTCTCTCTCTCTCTCTCTCTCTCTCTCTCTCTCTCTCTGCTGTCCTTTCAGTTTCTTCCAATTCCTTCTTCTATCCCCAAACTCTCCATCTTCGTTGTTTCCGTCTACTTGTATCATCCTCTCCTTCCCTCCTCCTTTTGTTTACCCTAGCCCCTATTCTCCTCCGTGCACTCTCCATAAGCTCTCTGGCGACCTGATTGGTGGAGGAGGCCAGATTACTGATGAACTGGCCGTTTCCTAGGCTGTTGAGGCCGCTGTTGACCGCATCAATATTGTTGTAGATGGTGTCCTCGACGTCGAAGTTGATGAGCGTGCCAAGGAACGAAGCTCCGGGAGAAGGAGCTTGCTCCGGACACGCCGCCTGCCATTCCAGCTGCCTCCGTGTTCCAGATCTGAAGGGCATGTCCAGCCCACAGAACTCGTACCTGGAAAACAGAGGACCACAATGATGGCCTTCTCCAACGACCCGTTATTTGTTTGCGTTATTATGCTGTGGGAAACGGTCTAGGTACGTTGTGTGTTGTCTGGCAAAGAAGGATTTATGGAAAGGCGGATGTAAGGGCATTTCCAGCAGCAGGTGTGAGTGCTGGAAAACAAACGAAGGTGTTTGGCAGTGCAAAAACAAAATACATTTTGGAAGGCAGTATTTCCAGCAGCAAGGATCCGACCTGAGGAGTGAAACGGTGTTCAGGAGCGAAGAGTTAAAGCCTGGAAAAAGCAGCAGCAACAAAAAAAGAAATGAAACAGACAGAATTTTACCTGGAACATATATTCAAGAGCCTCAGGAATGGCATCTCACCGAGACCTCTAAGATGTGGAACTCCCCTGGAGACAAAAAATCATATATACAATACACAGAACTCTTGAGTGGAGAGCGAGAATACTATGTTAGTCAACAAAACTCTTTCCAAGGAAGGAAGAAGAATATTTCTTGAAGACGCAGCAGGATTCTTCACGAGAAGTAAGATGGATATGGAGAAGCCACGAACCTTGTACCTGGAATATTAAAAAAAAAGACGGAATCCGAGAGAGAGTCGGAACTGGAAGCAAGAAAGACATTTCAAACACTCCAAACTCTCCTCTGGAAAGTATGAAGGAAGCTTTCAGACCACAGAACGTGTTACTGGAAAAGGACGAAGTTTCCATGCTGCTTGACGCGTTTCTTGAGAGGTAAAAAAAGTAGTTTCCAGGCAGGAAAAAAGTAGTTTTAGCGCTGGAAAAATTATCTAGACACAAAAAAAAACTATTCACAGAATAAGAAACTCTGTGTAAAGACACAAAACCACTTCCAGAAATCAAGAGAGAATTGGGGGAATCTGAGGCCCCCCCCCCTAATTACACGTTTTCTTTAGTACGTATAACAGAAAATATGTTGTAAGGAGACACTTAGTTAAAAAAAATAGAGACGTCATGCGTCCGCCCCCAAGGGACCAGAAGACAGGTCCGGGAGCACCGGGTACTGATGGTGCTAATGTGGGAGTTATGCCTGTGTGGGAGCACGGACTCCACACCTCCCACATTCCCACCAACACACTCACCAAAGCCCTACCTCAAAACAAATCTGAAAGTTTTCCGTCTAGTTAAACATTGCACAGATTCGCTCGTCAAATATTCCAACGCCGTTCCAACAATCCCAAGTCTAGTTAAGTTGCAAAAGAGTAAATTTTCTCTGGATTAACTTCTTGGACTATACCTGCATAATGAAACTAATTTGCATATTGTATTTAGCAGTTTATAACACGGCGACTTTGAATTTTGTCAAGTATTAAATTTCTTGATTACTGAGGACGACGGTGGAACAGTGGGTTAGTGTAAGAAGGACATACATAGACCTACCTCTCTTGCATCTCGATGGAATCGATGTGGATGCGATTGACATGGACAACCGGTTGAGACAGGAGACGCCAGGTGAGGGGGTTGTAGTAGACAGTGACATAGAGCCACTCTAAGACGACATGCTTCAGGTGTCCCAGGTCGGCACTTCCGATCATGTAGGTGTAGACGTTCCCCGGTTCGAAGAATATCTCTCTGGTGGGAGATGGTGGTCGGTTAGGACTAGGGTGAGTTGTGGTGGTGGTGGTGGTGGTGGTTGTTGTTGTTGATGGTGTGGGATTAGTCAGTCATGTGTCATATGGTCTCCTCCACTTAGCTTAGTAGCACACACACACACACACACACACACACACACACACACACACACCACACACACACACACACACCACACACACACACACACACACACACACACACACACACACACACACGCACACACACACACACACACACACACACACACACACACACACACACACACACACATAAAGAAACTGGAGAAGGTTCAGAGGTTTGCGACGAGGCTTGTCCCAGAGCTACGAGGGATGGGATATGAAGAGCGGCTGAAGGAACTGAACCTTACGACACTAGAGAAAAGAAGGGAGAGAGGAGATATGATAGGGACATATAAAATACTCAGGGGAATTGACAAAGTGGAAATAGATGAAATGTTCACACGTAATAATAACAGAACGAGGGGACATGGGTGGAAACTGGAAACTCAGATGAGTCACAGAGATGTTAGGAAGTTTTCTTTTAGCGTGAGAGTAGTGGAAAAATGGAATGCACTTGGGGAACAGGTTGTGGAAGCAAATACTATTCATACTTTTAAAACTAGGTATGATAGGGAAATGGGACAGGAGTCATTGCTGTAAACAACCGATAGCTAGAAAGGCGGGATCCAAGAGTCAATGCTCGATCCTGCAAGCACATATAGGTGAGTACATATAGGTGAGTACACACACACCACACACCCCACCACACCCCACACTCCACACCCCACACCCACACCCACACCCCACCACACACCCCACACACCACACCCCACCACACCCACACCCCACATCCACCCCACACCCACACTACACCCACACTACACCCACACGTACTCTTGGTTGAGTTTGATGCGAGGAGACTGGCCTTTCTGACCATACAAGGTGAGATAGAAGACCCCGACGTCTCCGCCCTGCAGACGAGCCTCCGTCGAGTACGACATCACCACACTCACTCGGTGGTGGAAGGCTGAAAGGTCACACGAGGTCAAGTCAAGGTCGCCGCAACGAGGGGAAGACTAGTATGGTTGTTAATGGTCGTACAAGGTCATCCTAGGTCTGGTTAAAGGCTCCGGAAAGAGAGAGAGAGAGAGAGAGAGAGAGAGAGAGAGAGAGAGAGAGAGAGAGAGAGAGAGAGAGAGAGAGAGAGAGAGAGAGAGAGAGAGAGAGAGAGAGAGGGCAAGTATGGATGTTAATGACATCAGAGGTCATTAGAGGTCACCGGAGAGTGTCTTTAAGGGGTCATGCTAAGCTAAACCGAGGTCACAACCACTAAAAAAGAGATGACAAATTTAACTATCAACGACCCATCTAGCAAATTGTGAAACAATCAGTGGTATAAGTGGTTAGGAATCACTAATTAGAGGTTAAACCACGCCATTAAGAGGTCACACAAGGTCACAGATACTTAAGCTAGACCACAGTGCATCCTTGTATCAGAGGGATATCGAAGATAAGGGATATCTATGAATGAGTGTGACCAGGACAATATTTCACTGTGCTGAGTGACAAGGAAAACATATAGGTGTATATCAGGGCAGGTGAGGACAGGAGAGAGAGAAGGTATATCTGTTATCGTATAGCAGGACAGGAAGAGGGATATATGTTGCCTTTGCTTGTCCTGATATATTTTGATATATAAGAATATAGGAACATATGAAGGCAACTGCAGAAGGCCTATTGGTATATACGAGTCAGCTCCTATTTATATCCACCCAATCTCATTCATATATGTGTCTAACCTACGTTTGAAACAATTAAGGGATCCTACTTCTATTATGTTACGCGGTAATTGGTTCCACAAATCAACAGCCCTGTTACCGAACCAGTATTTACCCCAGGTCTTTCCTAAATCTAAATCAAGTGTGTACCCATTGTTTCGTGTTCTGTCTTGTGTTGATACTTTTAATACTATATTAAAGGATACTTTTTCCTAAATATGTATTAAGGGAAAAATATGATATGGATTTCAGGGGATGAAGGAACATGTTAGGAGTCAGTTAACTGTAGAAAAGAGGACACTGTAATGAGTAAAAATGAGTTAGAACAATTAGGTAGTAACTCGTGGGTAATCAAACCAACGCCTTAGGTAAGTTGGAAGGTAGGTGTGAAGACTATAGGTGTTGAGGGGAGCCAGCCGCATGCTCGGGTAAGGATAGCCACGTGTTTGTGTAAGGTAGGGACCGTTGAGGTAAGTCTAGCCCATATATCGTGATATCCGGCTAAAGGAAACTATATATTGGGGTAAGTAAAGTGAGATCCGGACACTGAAAGGGATATATATGGATACACAGAGCGATATCCGGATACATAGAGTGATATCCAGATACATAGAGTGATATCCAGATACACACAGAGTAATATCAGAGAATTAAGGAGGCATCAGAGTTGCCACATTTGGGTAAGTAAGGAATGTTTCGTGAGGTAAGGGGACGGTACTAACATTAAGGTAAGCAAAGGAAACAGAAATATAGCAACAGCCAAGAAGAAGGCAAGAAATTGTTTGATAAAAGTAATATGCAAATAGCAAAAAAAAAATATTAATTAAAAATTTACACACATGAACAGTGGTCATAAAAATGTCGTCTGCAACATTTGCATAAGAAAATACTTGTGTAAACTTATTGCCATGAACACTATGAGAAATTCCTGCCAAAAAAGTAAGATATTTGCAATTGAGCGTTTGTATACATGTATGTATGTATGTATGTATGTATGTATGTATGTATGTATGTATGTATGTATGTATGTATGTATGTATGTATGTGTGTATGTATGTATGTATGTGAGTGGGAGTATATATGTGAGTGTTAGTATACATGTATATATGTATGTATGTATGTGAGTGGGAGTATATATGTGAGTGTTAGTATACATGTATATATGTATGTATGTATGTGAGTGGGAGTATATATGTGAGTGTTAGTATACATGTATATATGTATGTACGTATGTGAGTGGGAGTATATATGTGAATGTTAGTATACATGTATGTATGTACGTATGTGAGTGGGAGTATATATGTGAGCGTTAGTATACATGTATGTATGTGAGTGGGAGTATATATGTGAGTGTTAGTATACTTGAATGTATACGAAACATACATATAACCGGCCCATACATGGACTTGCACACACTTACAAAAGGACTTACAACAGCCTTAAGTAATGTCTATAGTAAGAGGTCTTTCCTGTTGTGTGTACTCACTTAGTTGTGTTGGTGGGGGTTGAGCTCTGGCTCTTGGGTCTGTGTGTGGAGGAAAGAGCAGGAGGTTGAGAGAGAGAGAGGGGGGCAGTGCCCCCTTCTCTCTCTCTCTCTCTCTCTCTCTCTCTCTCTCTCTCTCTCTCTCTCTCTCTCTCTCTCTCTCTCTCTCTCTCTCTCTCTCTCTCTCTCTCTCTCTCTCTCTCTCTCTCTCTCTCTCTCTCTCAACTCACTACAAAATGGACTATCAGCTCCAGTGATCAGAAACATCTTTCTCTCCGTCTGCTTGGGCTGGGTGTAGTTGAGATGGGAGTGGGCGTGGGCGCCCATCCTAGCGCATCGCTCCCAGCTACGCCCACACTCCCAGCACCGTCCCTTCAAGTAGGCCTCCCACGACCCGCACTCGATCGAGAGGAAGGGACAGGCGGCGTTGATCGACTCTGTGAAGTACTCGTAGGAACGAATGTGGTTGCAGCCGATGAATCGTCGGATACCTGAGGACGGAGAGAGAGTGAGAGTGAGAGAGAGAGAGAGAGAGAGAGAGAGAGAGAGAGAGAGAGAGAGAGAGAGAGAGAGAGAGAGAGAGAGAGAGAGAGAGAGAGAGAGAGAGAGAGAGAGAGGTCAGGTAAATTATCAAGAGAAAACGGTAAGGATGTTTAACCATGTACAGCGCTTGGAAAGGATAGGAGGGCGGAGTGTAGGACCCGTGTTGAATCCTCTCTTTAGACCTTTGGGGGTTGGACGCCGGTCTTCAAAGAGCCGGGCCGTCGATGTGCCCACCGGGCAAAGTGGAGGGACGAGTGTATATAATTCCCGGTGTGGGGAACAGGAGGTGTGGATACTTAGGCCTGTAATGAGGTTCTCTGCAGGTCGAACTACTGACCTTAACCAGGCTGCAACTCCGCAATAGTTGCTTAACTTCCTGTTTCCTATTTATCGCTAGGGTGAACAGAGGCATCAAGTGAAAGGGAACATGCCCAACTATTTCTGTCCCGCCAGGGGATCGTACCCGGGATTCCCGAGTGTAAGAACATAGTCCACTATGGGGCGCATCCGATCGTGGGATCGGATGCGCCCCGGCGTACCCGTGATGGGTGAATCGCGAAGCCCGGAAAGGTGAAACGCCAAGCTTAATCGCGAAGAGAGTGACGCCAATCACTTGAAACTAATACGCCATGTGGCGAAAAAACGCAAACGGGCAGATGATTGGGGAGCCCCAGGAGTCCCTCAGGGTGACAAGCACCGGCCCCGCCCCACACGGAGAACACCAGGGAGCAAAACCAAAACTCGGCCCCCAACCAAAACGCAAAAGTCATCAAGTGTCCTCCGGCAGAGCAGAAGCCGCCGCCCACCACGGCTGAGGGCACACCAGGAGCCCACCACGGCTGAGGGCACACCAGGAGCCCACCACGGCTGAGGGCACACCAGGAGCCCACCACGGCTGAGGGCACACCAGGAGCCCACCACGGCTGAGGGCACACCAGGAGCCCACCACGGCTGAGGGCACACCAGGAGCCCACCAAGACCCACCAACTCCCGGCACCTCTCGGCCAAGCCGGCCCCCGAACACCGTCACACCGCCGGGAGAACCAGCCAGAACACGCCAAAAAATCTATCAACAATCCTGTGACCCAAGACGATATGTGCGCCAGGCGTCGTAGAATCGGACCGTTGAAGAGGGATGCCAAACGGCAGTAGCAAAGTCAAAACGCGAAAACAGGACGTGAACAGGCGGCTCCCAGGCGGAGGAGGTGTATAGATGTCCGCTCGGCGTCAAGGTTCAAGGAATCCCCGGCTATAGTTTGACCGAGGAATGAACATCTTGTTTGTTTACATAACAAAAATCCCGCGCTGACGGCGCTATAAACTCCAGGTAAAACATAAGGTAAATGAAAACAAAAGAGAATCAGTAAAATAATATGAACCTAACAAACGTAATACTAACTGCTACACATCACAATCAATTCTTACCCCGATTTTTTTGTTTTATCTGGAAACGTTTGAAGGTGAAAAGAGAGGAGAATGGGAACAGGCGACTTGATCCCTTTTAACAGGCTTTAGAAGAGGATCTGAGAATTTATGGAAATCCTATAGATTTCCTCTGATTCCAAAGAAGAATAAATTGAAGCATCAGAAGCCGAAGCACTCGATAAAGCCTCGGAATTCTGAGTAGAGAGAATTGGATTCCATCTATTTAGCTTCTCGAAGAGTATTTTGATCTTTCAAAGAGAGTTATGCAGATTTCCTGACGCTGATTTGTTTGCTGGAAGGAATAATTTGTTGGACCATAGGAAACGGAGTCCTAAAAACAAGGGATTCAAACTTAAATAAGTAAACGTCAATCATCTTGAAGCCGCGTATTAAATACCTTTAAGAAAAAGCATTAAAATCCGTCACAAAATCTAAATCATATGACTGAATCCTATTAGATAAAAATCCATCCATTCGTAACTTCGATTAAATTCCATCTAATTTGATTAGAGGATAGGAATGAGCATTGAATTCCTGATACACATACGTGATTAGATCCTATTTGGCAACACCAAGGACTCGGGGAGCAGGATCGGGTGTGGCCGGCGGCGCTGAAATGCGATTTGCTTGGAAAAGAATTGAATTCCTTTCTCGTACAGGACGATTGTGGGATAGCACTTTCTGTTCCTCTTGGTGCCTCTTAGAGTCATCTCATTGTGACTAAATATGGTGATAGGTTTTTGTGCTGAGAGACAGACAGACACAGACAGACAGACAGACAGACAGACAGACAGACAGACAGACAGAGAGTAATGCTGCAGTACGTGTGAAAGAAAAGATAAGACTGTTTGGTGAAAACATATATATATCTGCTGTTGGGAGTAGAGTGAATGAGAAACTTCTGTCTGGGACAGAAAAGCAAAAGGTTCTCTCGCTACGCTACTCCTTCCAACTGTCTTGGTGAAGAACGGCTTGTAAAATGGACGTGAAATTAGACTCGTATCCTAGTTTCTTGTTCTCATATCCCACCTCTTAATTATCATATCCCTACTCCTTGTCCTCATATCCCAGTTCCGTGTCCTCATAGCCCAGCTCCTTGTCCTCATATCCCAGTTCCGTGTCCTCATAGCCCAGCTCCTTGTCCTCATATTCCAGTTCCTTGTCCTCATAGCCCAGCTCCTTCCTCATATCCCAGCTCCTCCTCATATTCCAGTTCCTTGTCCTCATAGCCCAGCTCCTCGTCCTCATATCCCAGCTCCTTGTCCTCATATTCCAGTTCCTTGTCCTCATAGCCCAGCTCCTTGACCTCATATCCCTGCTCCTTGTTTTCATATCCCAGCTCCTTGTCCTCATATCCCAGTTCCATGTCCTCATATCCCAGCTCCATGTCCTCATATCCCGGCTGCTTGTCCTCATATCCCAGCTCCATGTCCTCATACCCCAGCTCCTTGTCCTCATATATCTTCGAAGTATTCAATTGTCACTCTGGCCTAATACTTCCAACCAGACAATTGACCTTATATCCGTGGCTCGTCCTAGCCATGACCTGTGACCTCCCCCCCCCACCTTATCTACACTGTGACCCCCCTCTCCTTGACCTCTGACCTGACCTTACCGTAGGGTATGTTGCCCTGCTCCTTGGCCACCGAGTCGATCAAATGGGCGCCGCATCCTGGCATTGTGATGCCCCCGTTGGGGAAGAAGTCGAGATGACCTGAAGTTTGCAGGGTGCCCAGACCTGTGGTGGGGGATGTCGTAGGAGTCGGTGATGTTGTGGGGAGTGGGGTGGGTGAGTGGGTGTGGGGGGGTGGGGGAGGAAGGGTATGAAACAACAAAAAAGGCAAAGTCATAAAATGTATATTCAAACAAAACAGAACAGATAACAGTATTTAAATAGAGGTAATACATAGACTGCTGTAGCAGAATATAGACTACTTTGGCAATATATATTTGTACGCCCACACGTGCATGGGAGATACAGTCACACATACGTGGGAGAAACATGCCCTCACATGTACACCCACATGTACACCCACATGTACACCCACATGTACACCCACATGTACACCCACATGTACACTTTTGACACAGTACCTCACAAAAGGCTGTTACAAAAGTTGGAGCAGCAGGCAGGAGTAAAAGGTAAGGTGCTCCAGTGGATAAGGGAGTATCTAAGCAACAGGAAACAGCGAGTAATGGTGAGGGGGGAGACATCAGAGTGGCGAGATGTCACCAGCGGGGTCCCACAGGGCTCTGTACTTGGACCCATCCTGTTTCTGATATGTGTAAACGATCTTCCGGAGGGTATAGACTCATTCCTCTCAATGTTTGCTGATGGTGCAAATATTATGAGAAGACTTAAGACAGATGAAGATAGACAGAGACTACAGGACGACCTGGACAAACTGGTGAAATAGTCTAGGAAATGGCTACTAAAGATTAACTCTGGAAAGTGTAAAGTAATGAAATTAGGCGAACGGAGTGGGAGGCTGAACACAATGTACCATCTGGGAGGTGAAACCCTGCAAGAGTTAAAGAGAGAAAGATCTGAGGGTTGATATCACACCGAGCCCTGTCCCCATAAGTCCACATCAAAAAGGATATCATCAGCGCCATATGCTAGATTGGCCAACATAAGAACTGCCTTTAGAAACTTGTGTAAGGAATCGTTCAGGACCCTGTGTACCACTTATGTCAGATCAATCCTGGAGTATGCAGCTCCTGCCTGGAGTCCATACCTAGTTAAACACAACACAAAGTTAGAGAAGATTCAGCGGTATGCCACCAGACTCGTCCCGGAACTGAGAGGTATGAGTTACCAGGAAAGGTTAAGGGAGCTAAACCTCACGTCACTGGAAGACAGAAGAGTAGGGGGAGACATGATCACCACATACAAAATTCTCAGAGGAACTGATAGGGTGGACAAAGACAAACTATTCAGCACGGGTGGAGCACGAATAAGGGGACACAAGTGGAAACGTAGTACCCAAATGAGCCATACAGACATTAGAAATCATTTTTGTCGGTGTCAGAATAGAAATAGTGTAGCATTTTGCATTTGCAAAATGTAAATTTGCAGAGTAATGCAAATGGAATGCATTAGGCAGTGATGTGGTGGAGGCTGACTCCATACACAGTTTCAAATGTAGATATGATAGAGCCCAGTAGGCTCAGGAATCTGTACACCAGTTGATTGACAGTTGAGAGGCGGGACCAAAGAGCCAAGGCTCAACCCCCGCAAGCACGAATAGGTGAGTAAAAATAGGTGAGTACACATACACACACACATACACAGGGAGAATGGACTACCTGGGAGAAGTGCAGTGGGAGGAAGAAATTAGAGGAAAAACAGTGCAAGATATGATGGACCTAGTCATATGGAAATGCAAGGAGGCTGAAGAGAGATTTATTCCAACAGTAGAGGAAAAAAGTAGGAGGGAATATAATAACCCATGGTTTAATAGACAGTGTCAGGAAGCAAGCAGGAGGGAGAGAGGAGGAAGTACAGAAGACAAAGGACAGAGGACAACAGGATTAGATGTAACAGAGCTAGGAACGCATAATGCAATATCATTATGAGAAATGATATTGCAATCAAAGCGAAAAAGCAACCTAAATTACTACATAGCCATATAAGAAGGAAGATGTCGGTAAATGACCAAGTGACAAGACTAAGGAAGACAGAGGGGGCATATACAGAAAGTGACAAGGAAATCTGCGAGGTACTGAATGCAAGTTTCCATGGAGTGTTCACAACCGAGCCTGAGCAGCTCCCATTGTTAGAAGAGATTACCCTAGATGGAAGACTATCAGATATAGAGGTGACAGCAGAGGAGGTAATGAAACAGTTGACAACACTAGATGCAACTAAAGCGGTTGGACCAGACAAAGTATCACTGTGGATACTAAAAGAGGCAGCGCAGGCTCTCAGCGTGCCTCTGACAATGATCTTTAATGAGTCACTTATGTCGGGAGAATTGCCCCGTTACTGGAAGGAGGCAAATGTCGTACCGATTTTCAAGAAAGGTGATAGGGAGGAGGCACTTAACTACAGACCCGTATCACTGACAAGCATCCCCTGCAAAATACTTGAAAGAATAATTAGGCTAAGACTTGTTGAGCACCTGGAGAACATTGGGTTTGTAACAAGCACCAACATGGGTTCTGGACAGGGAAATCATGCCTAACAAACCTCTTAGAATTCTATGTTAAAGTAACAAGGATAAGGCAGACAGAGAAGGTTGGGCAGACTGCATATTTCTTGACTGCCAAAAGGCCTTAGATACGGTACCGCACATGAGACTGCTATACAAACTTGAGAGGCAGGCAGGAGTAAGCGGAAAGGCCCTAGTATGGGTGAAGAACTACCTAACAGGAAGGAGCCAGAGGGTAATGGTAAGGGGCGAGAAGTCGGACTGGCGAACAGTAACAAGTGGAGTACCTCAAAGATCGGTGCTGGGACCAATCCTCTTTCTAATTTACGTAAATGATATGTTTACAGGAGTGGAATCATACATGTCAATGTTTGCGGATTACGCAAAATTAATGAGAAGAGTTGTGACAGATGAGGATTGTAGGATCCTCCAAGAGGACTTAAACAGGCTGCAGAGATATTTTTTTTTAAGTGATATTCCTGCGCGGGCCCTAAGCCTCTGGCTGGCCCACCAAGTGTTGCTTGTTTCTGTTTACTTGGGCGGAGTATGAGTATTTATGACTCGTATGGTCGCTTCAGTAAGATTTTGCCATATGTGTTTAACAACTTCTTCTGCTCTGTTGAATCTAAGTTGAAATCTTAATGGGTTTGTAACTGTGCACTGTGTTAGATAATGTTCCAGTGGTCTGTTGTGGTTGTAACTATGCACTGTGTTAGATAATGTTCCATTGGTCTGTCGGGCATTCTCCACAGTGTTGACATTTCCTCTCATCTTCCGGAACCTGTAAGCCTATTTCCCATGCACATGGGTATCCAGCCTGATGCGATGTAAGTGTACTTCTGTTGCTCTACTGCTCCCCCTTTCATCAACATAAGTGGTTCGTAGGGTTGCAGAGATGGTCAGAAAAATGGCTACTGGAGTTCAACACGAGTAAATGTAAAGTTATGGAAATGGGATCAGGTGATAGGCGACCAAAGGGACAGTACACAATAATCGGGAACTGCCTACCTGTAACGATTCGAGAAAAGAGACCTGGGAGTGGATGTGACACCTAATCTAACTCCTGAGGCACATATAAATAGGATAACGACAGCAGCGTACTCTACACTGGCGAAAATTAGAAGTTCTTTCAGAAACCTAATGAAGAGGCTTTTAAGGCGCTTTACACTGCCTACGTGAGACCAGTCTTAGAGTATGCCGCGCCATCATGGAGCCCCCACCTGAAGAAACACATAAAGAAACTGGAGAAGGTTCAGAGTTTGCGACGAGGCTTGTCCCAGAGTTACGAGGGATGGGATATGAAGAGCATCTGAAGGAACTGAACCTTACAACACTAGAGAAAAGAAGGGAGAGGGGAGATATGATAGGGACATATAAAATACTCAGGGGAATTGACAAAGTGGAAATAGATAAAATGTTCACACGTAATAATACAGAACGAGGGGACATGGTGGAAACTGGAAACTCAGATGAGTCACAGAGATGTTAGGAAGTTTTCTTTTAGCGTGAGAGTAGTGGAAAAATGGAATGCACTTGGGGAACAGGTTGTGGAAGCAAATAATATTCATAATTTTAAAATTAGGTATGATAGGAAATGGGACAGGAGTCATTGCTGTAAACAACCGATAGCTAGAAAGGCGGGATCCAAGAGTCAATGCTCGATCCTGCAAGCACATATAGGTGAGTACACACACACACACACCTACACCCCCCACACCCCCCCACACCCACCCGACACACACACACACACACACACACACACACAACACACACACACACACACACACACACACACACACACACACACACACACCACAACACACACTACACCCCCAACACACACACACACACACCCCACAAACACCTACACCCCCCCATACACACACACCTACACCCCCCCCCCCCCACACACACACCTACACCCCCCTCCCCCCCAACACACACACACACCTACACCCCCCCACCCCCCCCCCCCCCCCCTCCCCCCCCAACACACACACACCTACACCCCCCCCCCCCCCACACACACACACACACACGACTATCCACATACCTCCCGTGATGATGGGTCCAGCATCCGTGTGAATAACATCGACCAGATCGGCATCGGTCGGGTCGAGTCGGACGACCGGTTCTGTGCCCTCGAAGTATGGCTCCGCCGGGTCGAGTCCTGAGCGTCCGTCGAGTGGTCATTGTGAGATAAAATAATACAGCTTACTTACACACCAAAAAGAAACGAATCCAAGCATAATTACTGACGAAACATCTACATCTTTTCTCAATCTTTCGGCGGCTTTGTTTACATATAGTAAGCAGCTTCGTGAGCTGGACCCACTACCTGTGCTCTTGACCCCACTCCCTGTGCTCTTGACCCCACTACCTGGGCTCTTGACCCCACTACCTGGGCTCTTGACCCCACTACCTGGGCTCTTGACCCCACTACCTGGGCTCTTGACCCCACTACCTGTGCTCTTGACCCCATTACCTGGGCTCTTGACCCCACTACCTGGGGCTATTGACCCCATTACCTGTGCTCTCTTGACCCCACTGCCTGTGCTCTTGACCCCATTACCTGTGATTCGTCCAAGCGAGGCTCCTCTTTCCTTGAGATACAGGCCCGTGTATCCGGCCAGCTGGGCGCCGAGGCTGTGTCCCACCACGTGTATGTGTCCGGGTTCGACTCCCACGTAGTCCTGTGGAGATACACGTACAGTGGTGATACATATATATGACACGTATATGGGGGGCTTATACATATCCCCCCCCGCTGAGGTATGACATGTCTAGCCATGTATTCTTAAGTATATTCAAATATATTCATTAACTCCTGCGCCCACTGAGGCATTTTTATGTCGTCGTAAAGTTTCTAGGATATTTGTGGCTCTCTACGACCTCTAACTTGAAGTTCTACGATATTTGTGGCTCTCTACGACCTCTAACTTGAAGTTCTACGATATTTGTGGCTCTCTACGACTTCTAACTTGAAGTTCTACGATATTTGTGGCTCTCTACGACTTCTAACTTGAAGTTCTACGATATTTGTGGCTCTCTACGACCTCTAACTTGAAGTTCTACGATATTTGTGGCTCTCTACGACCTCTAACTTGAAGTTCTACGATATTTGTGGTTTCAATCTAAATTAAACTTAAAGTTTAAGTTATCTAACTTAACATCTAACTTAAAGTTTGTTTTAATTATTGGCTTTATAAACCCCCAGTTAAACATAAAAATGTTCTGTGGGTTCAGTGGTGTACGTCCTCGATTCATAATCGGGGGATCCTGTGTTCGATCCTCCCCAGACGGAACAGAAATGGTTGGGCATTTGTTTTCTTTCACCTGATGCTTCCGTTCACCTAGCCTTAAAATAGGCACCCCGCGGACTTAGACGACTGTTGTGGGTGGCAGTAAAAAAAGCCTTAGATATGTTTTTGACCCCCACAAGACACCTATGGTGTTTACTGCAGGCTTGGTGACAGGTGTGTACACCCGGCCAGGCTTGGTGACAGGTGTGTACACACCCGGCCAGGCTTGGTGCCAGGTGTGTGTACACCCGGCCCGGCTTGGTGCCAGGTGTGTACACCCGGCCAGGCTTGGTGCCAGGTGTGTACACACCCGGCCAGGCTTGGTGCCAGGTGTGTGTACACACCCGGCCAGGCTTGGTGACAGGTGTGTACACACCCGGCCAGGCTTGGTGCCAGGTGTGTGTACACCCGGCCCGGCTTGGTGCCAGGTGTGTACACCCGGCCAGGCTTGGTGCCAGGTGGTGTACACCCGGCCAGGCTTGGTGCCAGGTGTGTACACCCGGCCAGGCTTGGTGCCAGGTGTGTACACCCGGCCAGGCTTGGTGCCAGGTGTGTACACCAGGCCAGGCTTGGTGCCAGGTGTGTGTACACCCGGCCAGGCTTGGTGCCAGGTGTGTACACCCGCCAGGCTTGGTGCCAGGTGTGTACACCCGGCCAGGCTTGTGCCAGGTGTGTGTACACCCGGCCAGGCTTGGCCAGGGTGTGTACACCCGGCCAGGCTTGGTGCCAGGTGTGTACACCCGGCCAGGCTTGGTGCCAGGTGTGTGTACACCCGGCCAGGCTTGGTGCCAGGTGTGTGTACACCCGGCAGAGATACAAGGGAAGAGTGTAACCACCACTCCGCACCAGGGGGGGGGCCATTAGCCATTAACGACCATCTCATTTAACGGGGGGATCCCCAGAGGTTGTAAGTGGTGCTATAAACAGGGCGGGTGTAGAGGCTGGCGAAGGTTCGCCCGTCTTGTCTCACACCAACGCCAGACTACCACCACACTAACGCCACACCAACTGCCGTTCTCTCGACCAATACGCCCCTCACATTTATTCACGCAGCTAACCTAACCTAACCTAACCTAACCTAACCTAACCTTGCCTAACCTAACCTAACCTTACTAACCTAACCTACCTAACCTAACCTAAACCTTAACCTAACCTAACCTAACCTAACCTAACCTAACTAACCTTACCTAAATACCTACCTAACCTAACTAACCTAACCTAACCTAACCTAACCTAACCTAACCTAACCTAACCTAACCTAACCTAACCTAACCTTACCTAACCTAACCTTACCTAACCTAACCAATCCGTTTAAAATACGACGTACTAGTAACCAAACGCTGTAATATGGACGTTCAGATCGGCCTTGATGGGTGAGGTCGGGTGCTTGGGGGCTTGTTCGCTTCCGGTGAGACCAAACAGCTGAATTTTTAACGGAGTGGAAATTCAGGGGGAAGACTGCGTTCGCCAGCGCTGGCGTTCGTGAGCGCTTGAGTGGGGCGGAGAGCGGCGCTGTCTCAGCCAATATATATGAGCTTTTCGCCGGACTTTAGTGAGAGTGCGTCCGACGTACAGGGCATATATACGATTCCCGTACAGGCGTTCGAGAGCTTGCCCCGCCCCCCCCCTCTCTACCCACCAAATGAACTATCTTCTTCTTGAGGTTATCTTGAAATGATTTCGGGGCTTTAGTGTCCCCGCGGCCCGGTCCTCGACAGTAGTAGGGATGGCTCCAAACAGACGATATTTTTTTTCAGGTCAAATATCGTCTGTGCGGGCCATGGTTTTCAGGTTCCAAAGGGAAAAATATGTCTGTGCGGGCCAGGGTTTTCAGATTCCAATATGTCTGTGTGGAGCCAGGGTTTTGAGGTTCCAATATCTCGCGTGTGAGCCAGGGTTTTCAGGTAAATTTTTGTGTCACAGATTTAGAAGTAAGGATTTTCTTATGAGAAAAATAATGTCATACGAGGTTTGTTAAAGTTTTTGAGAAAAAATAATTTCCGAGACATAGAAGTTTGTTAAGGGCCTTATGGGAGAAATTCAAATACGTGTGTAGCACTTTAGGGTTTTCCAGGAGAACTCTACGGACCGTTTTTACAGTTTTCAACTTAGAAAAATCCGTCTGTGTAAGCCATAGTTTTCATGTAAATTTGGAAAATCACATGTTAAGTCATTTTTTCAGGGGGTTTTCGACATCCCACCCCCTCCCTCCCCCCTTACCTCGCAATCTCTCGCGTCACCTTTATTTACTTTACGCCCGGCCAGCCAGACCTCTTATCTTATCTTCTCCAAATAATATCTCAACCGTCCCTCCCTCTCTCTCTCTCTCTCCTTTCATTCAGTTTCAAATTTTTCCAACATCGTATGTTTGCTCCTTATTTAAGCAAGTCAGTTTTAACAAATAAATCATGTTGTAAGCATGTTCTAGCTCACGTTCCCCCACCTTAGTCCCCTGTCGATAAGAATACTATCATTCCAATCCCCTAAAATTTAAAAATAATATATTCAAACGTAGTTCAATACAGTAATTTAGTTACCAAGCTCCAGCGCTTGTCCCCGCCTTAGCTCCTCTCGTATCTTCGTTAGTATCATTCCAATCCCTCTAAAATTTAAAAATAATCATATTTCAAACGTAGTTCAATACAGTAATTTATTACCAAGCTCCAGCGCTTGTCCTCCGCCTTAGCTCTCTCTCGTATCTTCGTTAGTATCATTCCAATCCCTCTAAAATTTAAAAATAATAATATTTCAAACGTAGTTCAATACAGTAATTTAGTTACCAAGCCAGCGCTTGTCCTCCGCCTTAGTTCTCTTTCGTATCTTTGTAAATAAACCATCAATTTCCCTTAAATTGTTACCCTCTGTATTTCAGACACCGTAAATAAAATCAAGTCAGTTATCGAGCTCCAGCTCTCGTCCCCGCCTTAATTCTCTTTCGTATCTTTGTAAATTAACCCATAAATTTCCCTAAAATTAAAAGCAGACATACTTCAAAGTTAGTAAAATAAGATCAAGGGTTACTGAGCTCCAGCTCTCGTCCCCCACCCTCTTCCACCCTCAAGTCTTTGTAAAAAAACCATCAATTTCCCTTAAATTTTTACCCTCGTATTTCAGACACCGTAAATAAAATCAAGTCAGTTATCGAGCTCCAGCTCTCGTCCCCGCCCTTAATTCTCTTTCGTATCTTTGTAAAAACCCATCAATTTCCCTAAAATTAAAAGCAGACCTACTTCAAAGTTAGTAAATAAGATCAAGTCAGTTACTGAGCTCCAGCTCTCGTCCCCCACCCTCTTCCACCCTCAAGTCTTGTAAATAAACCATCAATTTCCCTTAAATTTTTACCCTCTGTATTTCAGACACCGTAAATAAAATCAAGTCAGTTATCGAGCTCCAGCTCTCGTCCCCGCCTTAATTCTCTTTCGTATCTTTGTAAATAAACCCATCAATTTCCCTAAAATTAAAAGCAGACATTACTTCAAAGTTAGTAAATAAAATCAAGTCAGTTATGAGCTCCAGCTCTCGTCCCGCCTTAGTTCCTTTTCATATCTTTGTAAATAAACCATCAATTTCCCTGAAATTTTTACCCTCTGTATTTCAGACATAGTAAATATGAAGTAAACAATTATTAAAACTCTAGCTCTTGTCCTCTGTCCAAGCCACTTTTGTAAATCATTACTCTCAGTCCCAAATCACCCAACTACATTTTCAGACATAGTAAATAAAAACCAGTTCAGTTATCAAGTTACAAACTCTTGTGCCCCAGCTTAGTTCATTTGTACAAGTTCTTTATTTTCCAACTAAATCACCCTGAGATTAAGATCACCGTATTTTCTAACGTAGTAAAATTAATCTGGACATTAGCCTTAGATCATCAGACATAAAATATTCGATCAAGTCCGTCTCCAGCGTATCTCTTATCCGAGTATACACATAACCCCAACCTGTTTAATTATCTTTCACCCCCCCTCCCACTTCCTCCATCTCATCCAAGTCTCTTAAATTTAAATGTAGCTGTTAATTTGCGTTCTTTCCCCATTCATAGCATATTCTCTGTAAGTTCAGATCTGTACTTAGTCTTACATATTCTCTAGTTCTTTCCCATTTATACAAGACTTAAACAACTATTACCGTCTCCTCTATCTTATTTAAACATGAGTCATATGTAAATATACCCGACTCTTTCCATCCATTACAAGTCCTAGCTTGTTCACCGCCCAACTCACTACGCTATTTCTACTCTACATGTTATAGCATGTTTTCCGCTCATCTTGGTACCAACCCTTAACAATCGCTCTCTCTCAATTCCTTTACATGTCTCGCATGTTCGCCTCGCATCTTACTACGCTGTCTACTTTACATGTTGTAGGTGTATTACTGTGTCCCTAATCTTA